TGGGATTAGCCTGATTTAAGCAAACTTATAGTCCAACTAATCGTCTCAAAAATACAAACCCAACGACACCAAATTCAACTCAATCTGAGCCCAAATGAGTCTGAATCGAAGACCTGAAGCATTGTTAGAAGGTTCAAACCACAATTTGGATTACCAAACGGTTTTCAAACATGACATGCTTATTGTCAGATCAAGCGTCTCGACGAGACGAATCCAACGAGCCCAAGATTGCTAAATTTTGATATCATTAAAACCTTCAAATGTCTGACAAACGATCCACAATCAAGGGATTCAATATCGGCCGTCCATCCAAACCACTCCACATTTGCCCTTGATCCTCCGATTTACAGGTCACGTCATCCTCAAAAAACTATAAATAGACTCTCATTTCTTTTAAGAGGGGACCCAAGAAATAAGGAAGTAAGAAGAGGAGAAGAGAATAATATGAGGGAAGAAACTCCTCCTCGACCACCACCGGAGTTCCGCCCGACTTTCAAGTGACGTCGAAATTTCGCCCGACCTCCAAGTGACGCTGGAATTTCACCCAACCTCCAAGTGACACCGGAGTTTCACCTGAACTCCAAGTGATAGCGAAGTTCTTCCCGAATACCATCTAACATCGGAGTTCTCTTCGGCCGTCAACTGACGCCAGACTTCTACCAGACGCCGGACCTCCACTCATCGCCAAGTTTCTACCTGACACCAGACTTCTGCCTGTTGTCAAACTTTTGTCGAACATCTATCCGATGCTGGATTTCTTTCTATTATTAGATTTCTACCTAACGTCATCCTTCTAATCTTCGTTGTCAGACAACGTCCCTTCTGAACTCCATCGCCCACTGATTACGGTCCTTCTGACTTACGTCGCTCACTGACTACAATCCTTCTAACCTCTGTTGCCCGCCGACTACGGTCTTTCTTACTTACATCGCCCACCAACTATAATCTTTCCAACCTCCATTGCCAGCCGACTACGGTCCTTTTTACCTTCGTCGCCACCGACTACGGTCCTTCCAACCTCTGTTGCCCGCCGACTACGGTCCTTCTGACTTACATCGCCCACCAACTACAATCCTTCCAACTTACATCACCCACTGACTATAGTCCTTCAGATCAAATAAACACATCAGTAATGATTCTTTGTACTCTCATCATGTAATGTATTCTATAAGATGTACATCTAGCTAAGGCCTTCCCCAAAGAAGGGCCTCATTTGTAATTAACTGCAGTACTAGTGGATTCATTCAAACTGGTCTAGGCCCCATAATTTTTCCCCTTTTTTAGGGGTTTTTCATGTAAAAATCTTGGTGTCTCTAGTGAATGACACACCCTCTCATTTTATCTGTGTGAGTGTTTGATCTTCATACAATGCTAAAAACATTAAACTTTATATTTCTTTACTGTTGCTAATACTCCAAGACACAACAGTTTGGCACTGTCTGTGGGAACGTTGTTCCTAACAGGTGGGCAAATTTTACTCCAACCTTAGAATATTATTTAAGTCAATTTCTTAACATCAGTCATTATTGCATCAATTTCATAAGAATCATATATGGATTGGGGGGAAAACTTTGATTCTAATAGTGGTCAAAAAGATCATCTAATACTTTCAATATTAAGATGATATTTCAAGAAAATTCCACCAAATGCATTAAAAATCCCACCAAATGCAATGATGCTTCTAATCAATTATAAGTTTTATACAGTCCCTTACAGGACTTCTACTCCTTGGGCAAGGTCTTAATCTCGACCTTAAAAAAGAAGTAATGGTCTAAAGATAGTCCATTCTTCATCTTTGATTTAGGACACACGCGGCATTCTCTTCCTCCCAATCAAGGCAAAATTGATCCCATGGGGATTTGATTCAACCTCTTCCACACACGTTAAAGTTATCGAATAGGGCTCTAACATATAACCTCGGATAGGTCTTACATCCTTGATAGATTCTCTCGACGTCTTCTACACATGTTAATGTCATCAAGTAGGGATCTAACATACAACCTCGAATAGGTCTTATATTCTTGGTGGATTATCTGGACCTCTTCTACACATGTTAACGTCATCGAGGAGGGCTTTGACATACAACCTCGGATAGGTCTTATATTCATGGTGGATTCTCTTGACCTCTTCCACATAGGTTAACATCATCGAGCAAGGCTCTGTCATACAACCTCGGATAGGTCTTACATCCTTGGTGGATTCTCTCGATCTCTTCCATACAGGTTAATGTTATTGAATAAGGGCTTTGTCATACAACCTCGAATAGGTCATATATCCTTAGTGAATTCTCTCGACATCTTCCACATATGTTAATATCATCGAGCAAAGCTCTGACATACAATCTCGAATAGGTCTTACATCATTGGTGGATTCTCTCAACCTCTTTCACATAGGTTAACGTCATCGAGCAAGGCTCTGACATGCAACCTTGGATAGGTTTTACATCCTTGGTGGATTCTCTTGGTGGATTCTCTCGACATCTTCCATACAAGTTAACGTCATCAAGCAGTACTCTAACATACAACCTCAGATAGGTCTTACATCCTTGGTTAATTCTCTCGACCTCTTCCACACAGGTTAACATCATCGAGCAGTGCTCTATCATATAACCTCGGATAGGTTATACATCCTTGGTGGATTGTCCTGGCCTCCTTCATATAAGTTAACATCATTGAGTAGTGCTCTGACATATAACCTCAGATAGGTCTTACATCCTTAGAGGATTATCTCGACCTCTTCCATATAAGTTAACATCATTGAGCGGTGCTCTGATATACAATCTTGGATGGGTTATACATTATTGGCAGATTCTCTCAACCTCTTTCATATAGGTTAACTTCATCGAGCAATACTCTGACATACAATCTTGAAAAGATCATACATTCTTGGTGGATTCTCTCGACCTCTTCCACACATGAATTCAAAATCTTGGAAGGCTTAAGAACCTCAAAAGGTACAAGTATACAAAAATCTTAGCAGGCTAAAAAACCTCAAAGAATACAGAAGATATATATATATATATATA